CCATTTCCATCACAAGTAAAGATGACCTTGAGAAAACATAACTTCTACAAACATTCCTCTGCTTCTCAGGCAGAGAAACGAGACGGTACTAGGCATGCATGCCGACCACGTTGCACACTGCTGACGGTCTTCAGACTATGCGCTACAGAGCAGTTTCAGAAGATGCCAACAAAATAAGGTCATCTGACAGCAAACTAACTATCCCTGCATCTCAGATGATTGCTGTAGTACAGAATGAAGGCAGCTATTCTAATCAAGGAGTAGGAACGGCCGTTAAACAGCGCTGCCTTCGATGGATTTTGATAGTTAATAAACGGCAAGACCATCGAAGGAGTGACCCCAACTATTTCCAAGCAGAGATATGATCAATACATGCGAAGATTAAGGAATGAAGGTTGACCTGTTAGACAAACTGGTTGAGCTTACACCATTTATCATTTCAGCCTTTCAGCACCATTTCAGCTTATGAGCTTCTCATGAGGGAGATAGCACATATCGAATAGGTGGGCATTCGAATGCACGGCTAAATGGAAAAATGAGGTAGAAGCAGATCTGTTTTCGGACAGGAACAGTTCATTCTACGATTACTAAACGGTGTCTTGTAACAATAGTGTTGAAAATCTGCAAACAGCGGACATCGCAATCGCAAACCAAAGACGTTTTGCTTAAGTAAAAAACAGAAACTGCGTATGTCGACAAACAGAATACATCGCGGATCCTCAGCTTTCTTATCTGATCTGCCGCTGATGTGACTTCATCTTAGAAGACAGGCGCTGTTGTATAGCGACAAAGAGGTCGTGCTTGAACTACGGTTGTATTCAAAGCAGAAAGAGCATGTTCTATTAAACGGAATTTCCTTTGAGTTGTGTAGTTGCCCCACGCTGCGTGAGTACAATCACGCAATAAACGTGTAACGAGTCATTAACTTGTGAATAATACGGAAAATATATTATCCTGGTGAAGTTACGAGAATGGACGAGGGGAACGGCGATGCAGTCTGATTCGACCGCCTCGTGACTGCATTTCCCGATGACGCATATGATACCGACTTGCGGCGCCGACTGAGAGCACACGGCCTAGCTTCCTCCTAAAATACTCATCACGCTGGACACCCAAGCTGGTGCGTTGCCTCAGCCGTTGCGTTACACTTCGCCGGACAGTTTCTTAAGGTTTCGCAGCATGGTTCAACCAGTCATCCCGTAGGCTTAGCTATAAACTGTCTTGAGAATCTGTTTTCACCCACCTACCGCTGTGAAGTAGTGGAATTAGAACTCAGGAAAGTGGAGTTAGATATTGGAAACCAAATTAAGATGAGATTTCAACCAAG